AACCCCAAAAGATGAACTAACAGTTAGTTCCAACTCAATAGCAATGAATCAGTGAGTTTTGTTATTTAAAAACATAACTATATTGGAATTTGCAGTTAACAATCTTGAAATAAAGTGACAACTGAAACAAGCTTTAAAAAAAAAAAATCCCACAACTGTATCAAGTGGTAAAACTTAAATCTGTGACTTAACACTATATATTTCAGGAATCCCTCAATAGTGTGCAAAAGAGATAACATGTGAGCTACTAACCCACTAAATGTGGACTTTAGAGTCCACCCTGAGAAGAACTCATTCTATTTGATGTTGAGTTGGAAGTGACTCATAACTAACCCTCCAGCAGGTTTTCAGAGGCTGTAAATCATGAGACGAGACTATCCTTCTCCTACTTTGGTGAATTCAAACCAGCAGAGAGGTGGAGCCTTCAGGTCCACCTAAGGACTACACGAGTAATCTGTCACGATGTACCATCAAGTCGGAACTGACTCATAGGTGACCATCCATGGAGTTTTCGGAGACTATAAATCGGACAGGAAGAGGTAGATTCGAACTCTGCTGTTTTTTTTAGGTTATCAGCACAACTTTTTAAACCACTAAGCCACAGATTTCCCTCTCAGTAATATTTGTCTGAAAAATCAGCTATTGAACATAGTTTTACTCTGACACATACGGGGTTGCCATACTTTGGAAATTAACTGGATAACAATGGGTATTGGTAAGGTCAGTTTGCAACAAATACCCAGGCTGCATCTACCATAAAAGGCAGTCTCGATGGCATGGTAGATAAAACTTATCCAGCTGCTTGGGTTGGTAGGTTCAAACTCACCCACTGCTCAGAGGGAGAAAGATGGGCAGTCTCCTCCTAAAAAAATTTACAGCTTGGAAACCGGAAGGGTTCCTATGAGTCTGAACAGTTTGCATGCAGTGGACTGGATCTACTACAGAGTTATGTCAAGCTGCCTGCTCTGGGGTTTTGCTCTTGCCATCTAATCCCTTTATTTATGCTGTTTTTCTTAAAGCCAGAAGTAACCTCCAAAAAAAAAAAAAAAGAAGTAGTAACCTCCAAACCCTAGAAGCACATTGAGGAACAATATAGAACATTTCTGGGATGTTCATTTGCTTGTTCTTTTGCTGATCAAACATTTATTGCTGTTGTTGTTATGTGCCATCGAGTTGCCTGCAACTCATAGTAACCCTCCCTATGTACAACAACCCTAAACCCTGCTCTATCCTGTGCCAATCTCATTGTCTCTGACACACCTAAGCCCATTACCTGAATCAATACATCTCATCGAGGGTCTGACTCTCCTGCTCTGTCTTAATCTTGACTGTCTTAAAACATAAAAGGAAGATGGTGGTTGAAATGAAGTATCTCTGGAAATTAAATGTGAGAAATATGGATAAAAGAAATGAAGAGCAAGTTCAAACAAGTCACACTGTAAATGCCCAATAATATAAACTATACAACGATAAAAAGATATATGTGTACCGCCAAGTCAGACCCGACCCATAGTTGACCCTCTGGAAGGTTTTCAGAGGCAGTTAATTATATGGGAAGAGACTGCCTAGCCTTTTCCCGCTGAGCAGCTGGTGGTCTCGAACCACGTTCCTTAGGGATTGCAGTGCTGCTTCTTGCCACTAGGCCACTATACAATGATAGGAAAAAAGGCACATTAAAGTATTCATGTTTTTAAAAAACGTAGGTTAAGACTAGTGGCAGATCAGCAAAATTAAAAACAGGTTGTCAAAACAGATAAATGTTTTAAAATGAACAATTTATAGATTAAATAATGTATGTATTTTCTATACTTCATACATTATATCCAAAGGCACAAGTTTCCAAGGGCCAAGGTCTCGAATCCACCACCTGCTTTATGGGGTAAAGATGGGCAATCTCCTCCCATGTGATTAGCTATCTCTGAAAACCTGCTGGAGAGTCAGCTACAAGTTGGTTCTGACTCCACGGCACATAACAATATGTCCTCTTTCAATAAAGTGCTATGGTAATTTCTATGTGCCATAGCTCATCATTGTGAGAAAGGATTAAATGAGAAAATGGTTAATAAATGTCTGGCAAACTAAAATCCTTCAAATATATAGGCTGCTATTCTATATAATTGTGCCCACTAGGGGCCTTGAGTTAAAGGTAAATGTTTATTTTTGCAAATATGTTCAGTTTTATAACTCTTCACACAGGGACATGACTTAACACACTATTATTCACTGATACCTCTAAGCAAAACAAAAATATCTTTTTAAACAACTAGGTGATGTAGGAAGTGAAAAGTGGGCTTAAACTGGGCAAGAAAGTGCACGAGAACCACATCCACACACTAATGAGATACAGGAAATATAGTCCTCAGGCCATGTACATTAAATATTTTATTTTTAAATTCCCCTTAAGTACAACTAAGTATGGTTTAGTTTTAAAGACTGTAAAAGGTGTAATCCCTTCACTGTCAATAAAAAAAAAAATTACTAAAAAGTAAAAATTACTTACTTTACTCTTGTACAGTAAAGCCTAAAGTTCATGCTGTCAAAACCAAGAGCTGTCTGCGGACAATTTTCTCAAAGCACGTTCAAGTGTGTCGGGAAGAATGAATTTAGTTAAACCACACATTGGTTAGACTTAGATTTCTTTCATTAATGAGAACTTATTACAATGACTTTTTAATAATAATGCGAAGAAAATAGGATATTACAATTTTAAAACATCACTGTAAAGAGCAGTGACGTCTTATTTTTGCAGATTAAAATAAAGTAAGGAAGCATTATCAGGAATGCCAAATGTCTAGAAAAGTCTGGAACTTTTAGCATTGCAGTGTCAGAGAAAAAGAACCACAAATGACAAGTTATTCTCCAATACTAATACCAGTTAACATCTACAGTGTTAGTCTTTTAAAGAAAAAACCCAGCATTTCTAAAACCACAAGCAATGAGACCCTTCTAACTTTTTTAACCTATTTTCTGCCCCCTTTTGGTAAGGTGTTCAAAGAATTGTTTGTGCATTTGAAGTAAGACTAAAGGGTTTTTTAATCTATACAAATTCTTGTAACAATTTACGATTTTGAACTGAGGAAGAGGAAAATAGTTAACATAGTCACAAGTAGTTGCTTAATTCCTCTGCTACAAAAATACGCCCCCCCCAAAAAAAAAATTCAAACAAGAAAACTACCCAATATTTAGTACAAATGTTAAGGCAACCCAAAAACTTGTCCACTTTAAATAAATGTAAGTAAAATACAAGAAACAGACTCTACTCCAAAATACCAGATCAAAATCATCACTATGGGCTTCACAATGCATTCTGATAAATATCCTGAGACTACGTATCACTTAAATATGTTTTACAGGGCATGTAAGTGTAAAAACCAGTACAGTCAGAGAACCAAGCAGTAAAGATTCCAGCCCCCTCTTCTTTTTTTTAACTTCTCCACTGGTAGAACAAATCACAATGAATAATGGGGATTTGTCTGCAGCAGTAACTTGTTACTACAGCACTTTGCAAGCAATTTTGGAAGAAAATTTTTTCAACGTGTAAATTTTATGGTCAAAGTCCAAATAGTAATCAAAACATTGCTCTGGACAGTTAATTCCCTTCAGTACATGCTCACTCTTTTAAACAATAAAGCAAACCAACTTTCATGAAAGATGATAGGTGTCCATTGTTATTATGTACCATTTACTGTGCCCATTTCCCTAGTTTCCCTTGAAAAGTTTCAGGTCAAAGTTTTGTTGAGTCAAAACTTGAGTGCTCCACTGAGCTTTGTACCTCGAGGTGAGGGAGTGGAAAGAAATAACGCATTACAAGTGGCTTCCAGGTTGGGAAAAAGTTGGGAGGAGTTACATCTATTAGTTGTATCTAAATTAGTGAGCGGAGTAATAATATTGTGCCTTATTTCAAAAGCTAGTTCCCCAAAAAGTTAACTACTAAATCAAGGTACAAACGTCAAATATTATTAGTAACTGGAAAAAAGATAAAGCAAATAATATTTTTATCAACGAATTTTAAGAAATGGACTGATAACTGTAGGCAAGTTTCATTTTTAATCCATTTTGAATTCCAGTAAGCCTACGTTTCACACACAAGCTTCTATGTTCCAATTGCATGGGTTAACAATTACAGGAACTGATACAAGTATTAATAAGCCCTTTTCCCAAAGCCCATCTTTGGGGGGGGGGTGGTAAAGAAAAGAAGAGAAGTGAAATGAGGTGGAAATCTGACATTCACACAGCAGTCGAGTCAAAGTATGGTCAATATAATGATTAAACTCCACCAGAGGCCAACTTTGCACAAAGCTGTCCCTACACCACACTGAAGGTCTTTACTTTCGCTCCCACAAAGAAAGTAATCGGAGATTAAAGTCGGTTACTGAACAGAACGTTTAAAATAAAAACGAGACGACAGAACTTAACCGAACTACAGAGAGAGACAAGTTAACTCAAAAGGGAGAGAAAAGGCACAAGGACCCGGTAAGAGACGGGAGAACAGGTTAGGGGAGAGGAGGCAGCTTTCGGGGCTGCGGAGGAACAGAGATCCGGGTCCCCAGCACCCGGCGTTTACGGAAACCCAAAGGCTCCAGGGAAAACAATGGGGCGGTGAAGTCAGAAAGCGATCAGGGCGAAGCTCGGGCGAAATGAACGAGGCAGGACCGAGGGGCATAAAGAGCAGAGGGCTGCAGCGGACGGAGAGGCAGGAGGGTTAGGCGGGGAGGCGAGCTGGCCGGGCTGCGAGGACAGAGGTGCACAGGACTGCGAGCAGAGGGGTCTCCCAGGAACCCGGAGGGGAGTGGCTTGTCAGAGATTTTAAGACAGGCAACGGCAGGAACGGAAGCCGTGAAGGCAGGTGTGATGGAAGCAGAAAGAACAGAGCTCCGGGAAGCACCGGACCCGCTGTGCCAAACAAGACGCAGGAAGAACGAGGCAGCTCAAGAGAAGAAAAGCGCGATAGCGGGTCGTGGGGGCGGGCAGGGAGGGGGGCCGCGGTCGGCTTCACTCACAGTCCAGGTGCTTTTTCTTGGGCCCCATGATCTCGTGGGTCGTGGCCTTGCATACTGTCTTGGAAACGGCGGAGCCGGTGACACTATGCTGGGCGGCGGTGATTCGGTCCGTCAAGCTCTGGCCGGACATCTCTGCGGCTCCTCCGCCACCCCTCCTGCTCGGCAGCCGGCGGGGACCGGGACCCCCAAGCGCCGGAGGGTCCCCACCCCCCACCGCACCCCCTAACCCCCACCGGCTCCTTCCCCGCCTGCCGGCCTGGGGCGGGGCTCAAGGCCGCGCGCTGCCACTCAGCCCTGAGAGAACCGACTCGTGTTACCCTCGGGGTCGGGCACGGTGTCGAGCACTCTGCTGCCCCCGCCTCAGCTCAGCCCACCCCTCCGCTGGTCAGCTGAAGCCGGGCAGGGCAAGAGGGACAGGCAGCTGCAGGAAAATGGCGGCGCCAGGCTCCTCCTCGGAGCTTTCCGGGCTGCCCCTGGTCACGTGACTCGGGCACCGCCCCCTCCTCTCTCCTCCCGCCCCTTTTCCCTTCCCTTTCCTCCTCCACGCCCGCCCTCCCTCGCCCGGCGAGGGAAGAGCGGGGCGGTGCCCGCGCGTTACGTGAAGGAACCCGCCCGGCGGGCGCAACAGGAGGCCCACTGGGGGGCGGGGTGGGGGGCGGTTAGTGCGCGGCCGCCGCGTCACGTGACTCTGCCAACAGGTCTCTTGAGGCGAGATGGGGGGGGGTCACAGAAGGGGGCGGGGCGAGGGCGTGGCGAGCTGGGGGCGCGGCGCTGCGGGGCTACCGGCTTCTCCCACTCTACCCGGCGGGTGTTCTCGTGCCTCGGGAGAGAACCAACGGTTTGACAAAGAGGAGGTGCTGCTGCCTGCACGGTTTCTCCGTAGGAAGGGGGCGTCAGGGTTTCGTCTTCCCAGCTTGTCCTAGCAGAGGCAGGAATGTGTTTAGGGACGTCCCCTAGGCTGGCCTCCTAGTTCTTTAAGGAAAAAGAAAGACTCAAGTCGGCCTAATTTTTGAACCTACAGGCAGGCCTCTCTCCTACTGTGAAATAGTTGAAGCCCTCCCTGCTTACTTAAACCCAGAGGGGTCCCCCCCACACACACACACCTTTCCCAGAGAGGTTTGGAAATGTCACCTGTTTTTGTTTATCTCTTCTCTGAAAAACTTGACACATTGCTACCAGTCTAAATTTAGATAGTAATAGGCTAGTGTTCATTCTCTAGGGTGTCAAATAGGACAGGAAACACATAGCTTCACTGGAATTTGAAAGGGGAAGTAGTAGGATGATGTCAATAGCGATTAACGTGACCCTACAAGGCTGGCTCCTGTGATGATTACAGGTCCAGACCATAGAAGGAAGTGAGAGGGCTGATAGAGAAGTCCCATTCAAAGAATCGAGACATCACTACCAGCCATCTCACTTGGTTTACTCTTTATTCTGTTTGGCCTCTTTTCTCTTGTTAGGTGAGCCAAATTTTCAAAGAAAAAAGGCATTGACACTGCCCTGTGGACATTTTAGAGGAATCATTATATCCTGGGAATCTGTTCTATGAGATTTTGTAAAAATCTATTTACAAAGCCCCCTCCTAAAATTGTACTGGGGCTCTACATTTGAGCCAGTTTGGGGAATATGTTTTTTAATCTCTCTACATGTTAAATTCCATAGTCATGTAATCTTGTTGGTTTCAAATGAAATGCTAACATGCTCAGAGTCTGTGTGCACCATCTGCCAGCCAAATCCAAAATACTGTGCTTCAATCTGGTGACTCTCAAAAGATACAAAGCTAATAGATATTTAACATTTCATGTATCATATCAGGAATTTTTTAGTCTCCTATCCCCCCACTCTTTTTCCTCACTATGGCTGGTGAAATTCTGCAGCACCATGCTTTTGCCAAGAACATACAGTTCTTAAGCTAGCAGGCTACGTCTATGTCAAGCCAGCCACCAATTGTAATCACAAAAATGTAATTACTTTCCTCAATGCATCTACAATCCATCTGTGTTTTGGTGCTTAGCTTGCTGCCCTGTATCCATCAGGCAGTAGAATTACCCAATTCTCAAGACATAATTGCCAGCCACTCTTCCTGAGGGTTCTACTGAATAAGTTATCAGTTGGCCTAACCTTGCCACCCCTCCCATACTCCCAGTTGAGGTCCACAAGAGCAGAGTGAAGCTATTAATAGCTAAATATTTAATTCTGAGGGGTAATACAAAAGTTATTTGTAAGTGCACAACAAGAAATTTACTCTTATGAATTGCTGTAAAAGACATTCTAGGAAAATGTTCCACTGTTGCTTTTTCCAATGAGCTGCTTACAGACCAGCTTTATGCAAATAATTATTTTCTCGTTCACCTTATTAACAAGCTAGTTTCTGTTAGAAATATAACTGTACCTTTTCATTAAGGGTCATTTTAGAAGTTTCTAAGTTTGGAAATAGTTATTGTTGTAGGGCTTTATATGTAATAGTAAGCTGAATGGCAAGGGAATTCAGAGGAAAGTAGAGACTTGTTCTAAGGGTAAGAGTTACTGACTTAACCTCTTATATGCTTAAGTTTTCCCTATGTTCCAACTTCCTTGTTCTGTTCAAAAAATATCTTAAGGTTCCACTAATGGCCCAAACTCACTGGATGGTCAACACTAAATCTCTCTTGTTCTTGCCCACCTTCCTGCATGCTTAATCCAAGCTGTTCCTCTCTTTTGTTCCTGTTTTCATTAATGACCTCACTTTCTGCTCAGAATCTGCAGTCAGAAACCTATGATTCATTCTTGGCTTTGTTTCCCTCCTATCTCTCTCATCCCATCTAATTACTATTGTCTCCCAAACCTATCTTCTACCATTCCTTCTAGTGCCTTCTTTCCTGCTTCTATGAGCTCTTCCCTACTTAGACTATTCTGATAATGTCTGTAAGATGATTTCTCGTGATGAGGAATATCTCTACCCTCTTTCTAAACCTAAGATGTGATTCTCTTTACATTAAAATGAAAATAAATCCATCAGTAGATCTGCCATTTCTACCCTGTAGGAGAAAATTGGCCTCTTGGCCTGGTATACAAGACCCTTCATAATATGGAGCCTGTATAACTACTGCTTTATGAACCTTCTTTCACCAGCTCCCCACGTGCATTCCAGCCATACCAAACTACTTGTCATTCCTGGATGCACAATGTTGTTTACCACTCAACAGTTTCCTTTTTGTATGCTCATGTACACTCTTCTTTTACATCCTTCTGTTTTGTTTTGTTTCATTCTATAGACATTTGTTGGAGATTTTGTGAATAGGATTCCAGACCACTACAGTAAAGCAAGGATTGAAATAAAGTGAGTCACATGTATCACTGTTTGCCAGTGCATATAAAAATTATGTTTACACTCTACTGTAGTCTATTATGTATAAGATACTAATTACTGCATTGTCATCAAGTCAGAACTGACTCATAGTAGACCCTCTGGTGGGTTTCCAAGACTAAATTGCAAGGAAGACTGGCCATCTTTCTCTCACAGAACCTTTGGTGGATTGAATGACTGGAGAGGTACTTAGGTAGCAGAGCAATTCTTTGTGGGCTACAATATCCAAATTCCTAAAAGTATGAGATAACATTATGGAAAACTTTTAAATACTGCAAGAATTATCAAAGCATGACCCAGAAATACAAAGTGAGCATATTCTGTTAAAAAAAATGGAAATAATCAAATTCATTCTCACTGCCATTATGTCGCTTCCAATTCATAATGACCCTCTACTGGGTTTTTCAGGAGGAAACTTTCCATCTCCTATCCTTCTCCCAAGCAGCTGCTGGTGTATGTAAATCAAGGTAGACTTGTAGCCTTCAATTTAGCAGCTATGGATATAGTGGTAAGAAGTTTTGATACCAACTCAAAGGCACATGGTTCGAATCCACTAGGTATGTCAAGGGAGAAAGCTGGGCAGTCTCATGCAATTTTACTATCTCTGGAGGGTCAGTTATGAGTTGGTTCCAACTCAATAGTAAACAACAACTTAATCAAACCCTTATTGCACTTTATTGTAGATTTCTTTTCATCCAGTTTATTTATTGATTTTTAGTCCCCTTCCTTTCTGACTCCCATTACTCACCCAAGACTGAATCTGTCTGGATTTAAACCTTTTATATTAGTGGTCTTTACAGCATAGTTGTCCTTTTGTGACATTTGCCACTCAGATAATTTATTTCAGACTCATCCATGTTGTCCACTGTTTCACATATTCTTGGTTACTTTTTTAGTGATACATAATATGTCATTGTTTGAATGTACCACAATTTCTTTAGCTATTCTTCTGTTGATGGACACAAGTTGTATCAACCTCTTATTTGTTAAGGATACATGCTTAGTAGTGGGATTGTTAGGGATCTTTGGTGGCCTAGTGACAAGAAGTTGCAAGGCACTCAGTTCGCTGCCAGCTGCTCCTTGGGAGAAAGATAGACAACTGCCTCCCACATGATAAACTACCTCTGAAAGTCTATGGGAGGGTCAACTATGGGTCTATTCTGACTATGGTACACAACAACAACAAGTGGGATTGTCTGACCAACTTGTATTTCTATTCCCAGCTTTCTAAGGAAGCTCCACATTGCCTTCCATAGTGGTTGCACCAGTTTACATTTCTAACAGCAGTGCATGAAAATTCTTATCTTTCCACAGCCTTGCCAAAGTTGTTATTTGATATCTTCCTGACCATTGCTATTTTCGCTGGTGTGAGATTATCGTTTGTTATTTTGATTTACAGCTCACTAATAGTTAATCACGGAGTTTTGGTGGCCTCGTGGTAAAGAGCTGCTCTGTCAGCCCAAAGGCACTGGTTCAAATTTACCAGCTGGGAAAGACGGACCATCTCTTCCCATGCAATTTACAGCCTCTGAAAACCCCTGGAGGGTTGGCTATGAGTCAGTTCCAACTCAACAGAAATGAGACCAACCAGATGAAGAGAAGAAGATCTATGCTGTGAGTTCATGTTGATTTTTGCAATGTGATGGCTTGTACTAGATTGGCCTTTATATGTGGATGCAGATGCTCGAATTTTCCAAATTAAACAGATGATTCTTCAATAAAAGATATATATGCTAGCTCTTTCACAGTGTCGATTTGATAAGGATGGGCAAATTAGAAATGGA